GGGCATAAAGAACTTAAATAGGAAGCTTCTTGATTTGATATTATTGTTGTAATGTTTCATACGTGCAATAATGGAAAGTATCGGGGAAAAAAATCATGGAGTTCATTACAAATTTATCAAAAAATACATTTTGCGTTACCCGGGAACAACGACGTGGACGTAGTATTTTTCTGTTCCCTTCGGGGTGCTAGATTAGCGTGAGTCCCCTTGCCTCTCACGTTTCGGGGTGCTAGATTAGCGTGAGTCCCCTTGCCTCTCACGTTTCGGGGTGCTAGATTAGCGTGAGTCCCCTTGCCTCTCAGAAATCGGGGTGCTTGTTTTATGTGAGCCCCTTGCCTCTCACAACTTTTTTTTGACCATTTTCTTTTATTTTTTATTAATGCCCAACATCTGAAGAATATTGTGTCCAAATTTGAAGTCGATCCGAGTAAAACTAACGGAGTTCTGACGTCCAGCGTCCGATGCCTGGCTTCCAGGCGCTAGGGGTCCTGACCCCTAAATGGTAATAAATTTTTTACATTAGTGGGAATGTCAATGTTGCTCAAATTCACGAACCATTTATCGTTCAATTTTTCGAGAGGAACTGCATCATCAAAATTATCAGGTGAGATGTTTATATTCTCACCGCAGTGGTTAATATTCTCATTCTCAGATTTTATCTGTAATTTATTTAACTGATTATCAGAAGTTACACTATATGAAATCGGTTTTATTTTAGATCTTTTAGAATTAGAACCTTTCTGTCTTAACTAATTTTCTGTCTTAAAAGATTTTTCAATAAATATATTCGGCTTACCTGTTAACAAATATAATTTGGATAAAACTACAGTAGAGTTTATTAAGCATATTGAAAGTAATATAAATGGTCGACCTAAGAATATAACTAATTTTGTTAGACACAATTCTACTAATATACTAGAAAAATTTCAGAAAGATTTTCCAATAAATATACCTAACGATAAATTACTCTATGATTGGCAATTGATCACTAAAGTTTTTTTAAAAAACCATCCTAATGTGTTAGTCACAAAAGCTGACAAGGGGAATGTCACTGTTGCTCTAAATAAAGATAATTATGTCGAAAAAATGGAGGAGATTTTATCAGACAAGGACACTTATGAAATTATTAACAAAGATCCAACCAAAAAAGTTACCAGCGAATTACGTTCCTTATTGGTTAGATGGAAAAGCAATAAATTTATTGACGATTCCACATATCGAAGGTTACTCATGACTGATGGTATTATTCCAAGGGCATACGGTTTAACGAAGATCCATAAACAGGGGAACCCGTTAAGAATTATTGTATCATCTACTAACAGTCCATTATATTATTTTTCGTTATATCTGCATAATATCATCAACGATTCTATATTAGAAGCACCTAGCTACATCAGGAATAGTTTTCAACTTGTTGAAAAACTAAAAGATATTTGCATCGAACCTGATTATTTGCTAGTATCATTAGACGTAGTTCCTTTGTTTACGAATGTTCCCATAGAGTTTAGTTGGTGTCTGATGGTATTGCAAAGAGATGGGATTATATATCGGGGAAGACTGTTATACCATTAAATGAGTTTTTAATTGCTGTTCGTTTGGTTTTAAACTCCACCTTTTTTATGTTTAATAACAAATTTTACAAACAGATTTTTGGTACTCCGATGGGTTCTCCTTTATCTCCAATTGCGGCGGATATAGTCAAGATATAGTGCAAGATTTTGAAATAACAGCAATTGAAAAATTACCTATTAAGCTCTTATTTTATTTTCGATATGTGGATGATATTATCTTAGCGGTTCCATCTGAAAGTACTAATGACATCTTAAACATTTTTAATTCTT